GATAAAACAAAGGTTATAATAAAATAAGGACAAAAATATTTAAATTTTGTGCGAAAATGCATTTGCGTTTGCATTGGGGCCTATGAACAGGTATGAACGCAAAAATGAGTTAGGACTTAAGAGGCACATTAATCAAAAGAATAGAAGGGAAACATGTCAAGGCCTCTGGTCTTGATGACAATCGAATCGTAATAACGAGAGGGAGTTCGATGAAAACCGGGACAAAGTAGTATTATATAAGATAAAATGTCAATAATTACAACTTAATTAGCATTATTCACACAACTATACTTAGGAAACAAGAGACTAACGACAAGCAGCAACGCAGAGATGTCCTCTTAAGTCATAAGTCGTTTTACATTGATAGAAAAGAGGAAACTAGTTTGTTTCTTTAAATTACTCTAATAGGGAGTTGATGCATTCGGTAACCTAGATTATGAGTTCCAATAAATAAAATTAGCAAATGCAAGCTAAAAACGTATTAATTTAGAAAGTCGAAGCCAACAATATGTGATACTCCCTAGCCAAATATGTAGCGTAAAGTTGTTAACAGAGTCCTCACTACTCTCAATATAGGTATATAGTTATATTTTGCAATTTAATGAAGCTAATTACATGGCACTTGAGAAAGTAAGTCCGATTAACGGAGAAAGTGAATAAAAACAAGTCAAAAGAATGTCGAAAAAAAAAGAATGCATGAGGCACATAGGAGCTACTTTTTTTAAAGTTCAAGCTGCCATATATTATGACCAATACGAAAATTACTTATGTGAGAGGTAGATAGAAGATAGCAGGTTTGAATGAAGTCAAAGGGAATCAACAGATGAAGCTCGTGCGGCTCATTTAATTTAGTCTGCACTAATTACTTGGAGATATAACTGGCTCATGTGGCCTTTTGGAGGCTGTTTGAAGAGTCTCTTGAAGGCCGAGTATGAGTTAGATGGTTGTTGGCAAAAACAGAAGTTAGTCCAATGGAAGGACTGCATGAGCCAACGAGCGAAGAAGAGCCGACTTGGGAGTAATAAAAGGAATCAAAACCACTCTGACAAGTACTTGCCGGATTAGATGATGAAGAAAGTGGAGAAAGCGTGATATCAGATCCAAGATGGATTAGTTTGCTAGGCATCAGCGTATGTAATGGGGTGAGAGTGTTCTGCTTTTCCATGTCGGGTAGGGTGGAAGGCACAGAAGAGTATTGGCACCAGTAGCGAAGGCGGTCTGCAGCTATAGTAAGTCCCTGACGCTGATATACTAGAGCCAAGTTTCGCACAGCAGTCTGCACAACCGAGCTGTAAAACCGTATTAGGGTAGAAAAATTCTTTAGTCCAGTGATTCCTAAACTGTGCGCCGCAGCGCCCCAGGGAGCCCTGGCCTATTTACAGGGACGCCGCGAAATATAGTAAAAGCTTCAATTTGAGAAAATGTGCAGTGATTTGCAGGCTCATCCATAAAATAAATTATTAAATATT